TCCTCCAACACAGTTCCCAGGTCCAGAACAAATTCAAGGAAACACACACTTCATGTTACTGTTTATAAATGTATGTAAATTGTAAAGTATTTTGTCTGTAATGTCTTTTTCGTTACGTGTCGGACCCCAGTAAGACTAGCTGTCGCCATTAGCATTCGCTAATGGGGATCCTAATCAAATCTAAACACCCACACCTTCCCTCATTTATCCTTCCCCTCTATATCTCTATCTCCTAACCTCTCTTCTCCTCCAGCCGTCTATCTCTACCTCCTTCGTTTGCTCCCTCCTTCGCTCTCTCATTAACTGCCTCCTTCGCTCCCTCCTTCACTCCCTCCTTCGCTCTCTTGTTCGCTCCCTCCCTCCCTCTCATTCTAGTAGATCTGTGCAGTGTAGCGGGTGTAGGAGGGGGTGGGGTGGGCCTGCCTGCCTGCCTGCCTTCCTGATTTAATGAGGTCCTATGGGGATTGGACTGAAATCATCAAAAGCTGCGCTCCTCTCCTCTCTGCTGTACAGCCAGCTCTGTTAAACAGATGTGCCGGCGCTAATGATAGCAGCACTGTCTCATGCCCAGCATGCGTGAACACAGGGATGGGGAACAGGAGAGAAATTAGAGGAAAGAGGGAGAGGTGAGAAAAGGGGAGGAGAGGCGCTCTAGCGTAGGAACATAGCTCTTCTCTGATTAAGTGTAGGGAATGAGGGAGAGGAGAAGAGGGGGAAAAGGGAGGTGCGATAAGGGAAATCTCATAGATTACAGATTACCTGGGAGGAGAGAGGAGGGAGGTGGAGGGTGATTGGGGGAGAGATGGAGAGAGGTGGAGGGAGGTTTTGGGAGAGATGGAGAGATGTGGAGGGAGGTGGCCAGGGGAGGTAGGTTTGGGGAGAGATGGAGAGATGTGGAGGGAAGTGAAGAGGTGGAGGGAGATTGGGGAAGAGATGGAGAGGGATGGAGGGACAGTAGGTGGACAGCCCAGAAACTAAATCCTCCTGGTGTCTTTGTGAGAGCTAACAAAACCACAAGCTGACAGCAGCATCAGACCATAAAAGACTGTAAGGGAGAGAAACGCGAGAGATGGAAATGGAGAGAGTTTATTGTTTATTAGAATCTATGGGAATTGGACAGAGAGAGGGAGAGGGAGGGAGAGCATAGTAAAAGGGAAACAGGAATAGAGTGGGAGAGAAAAAAAAGAGAGAGATTTATTGATTCACTCATTCATTCTCTCTCTCTCTCTCTCCTCTCTCTCTCTCTCTCTCTCTCTCTCTCTCTCTCTCTCTCTCTCTCTCTCTTTCACTCACTCACTCACTCACTCACTCACTCACTCTCTCCTCGCTTCCATCTCAAAATCCATTGGAGGAGAAGGTCAGAGTGGAGGGACCTCTGGCTTTCTCATCCAATGGGTTCTGAGAAGGAGGCGAGGAGAGAGGACGGGAGGAGTATACAAGTGAGATTCTCCCACTCACTCTAACTCACCCTTACTCACTCTCGTTGTCTTTCTTACTCAGAAAGCTCTCAGCCAGCTCTGCCTCTGTCTTTCTGACCATCCCTCCCTACCATAATGACCTGTTAACACAGAGTAATTACAGTGGCCACACACACACACACACACACACACACACACACACACACACACACACACACACACACACACACACACACACACACACACACACACACACACACACACACACACACACACACACACACACACACACACACACACACACACACACACACACACACACACATACACATTCACATACACATACACATACACATACACACACACACACACACAAACGCACTCACTCACACACAGTTAAGTAACAGCAGTGTCCTCAGGATTCCCAGAAGTTTCTCTAATCTCGGCCTCATTATGGGTACAAAGAGGTGGCCCAAACAAAGGCCTAACCTCCGCGCTGCGCTGGGACGCACACAGAGAGGCACGTATGGTTAAATCATGCCTTGTTACCAGATGTCACGGTTTCGGCCGAGACTGCTCCTCCTCCTGGTTCGGGCAGGCTTCGGCGTTCGCCGTCCCCGGAGTACTAGCTGCCACCGTTGAATGTTTCGTGGTGTGATTGCTTTGGTCTGTCTTGTACACCTGTGTCTGTTTGTGTTCTGATTACGTGTCCTATAAGTTCCCTGTTTTGTATAGGTTAGATTGTGTGTTGTTGTTTGCCTGTATTTCGGAGCTGCGTGTTGACGCTCTGTTTGTTTGTTTAGTGTTTACGCATGGTTTACATATTCACTCGCCTCTGTTTGTTTTCGAGGCCGTGTATTGTAATTTTGCACTTTTGACTAGTAAAGTCTGTTGGACGTAGCCTCTGTGTCCTGCGCCTGACTCCTCCACCACATCCACATCGGTTCATCTGACACCAGAATGCTGATAATGCTTCCCTGGGTTATCTTTCCTGCAGTCAAATGACCAAATCACCCTCTAGTGGCCTCATAGGTGGAATATTATTAATATTTTTTTATAATTTCATAATTAATGTTGTTGTTGAAAATCTGGTGTTTCTATGTCGAACGGTTTCATTCATATAGAGTGTAATATTGAGATGCAAACTCAAAATGGAATACATTTCAACTCCATATCTGACATGGTACAGGTATCTTCTTTTTTGAAGCCCATAACCATGTGTGTGAGGTGTATACTTTTGTTTCAAAGTAGATTTGTTTAAGACTACCAAGAAACACTCTGTGTGACCCTGATTTAGTCCACTGCAGTAAAAGGTTATTGTAGCATAAAACAGACTGAGAGAGAGAGAGAGGGTGCGGGGAGGGGGGGGGGGGGGTTGTTCCACTTGCATAGGCCTACAGTATCCTGTTTTCATCAGAAGTATCAGGGCAAAGTAAGATTTGCTCTCACATAGACAAGTGTGTAAGTTGTCTCTGCATGTCACTGTATTTAGCACTAAACTATATCCTAATGGCATTACTGTGTGTTTAGAGTGCCTAAACTTGTTACAAATTTAAGTGAGTTTTGGAACAGGGCCATGGAACAGGGTGGCTTTGATTGGCTTGAAGTGATCCCTTATGTGGCAATTTTCTCAGAGGATTTTCATAGGCCCTCAAACTTGTTACTAAAGAGGCAAGTCAGTGTCCAGAGTGGACTGTAGTATGGAGTCAGGGGAGGTGTCACTGGTGCTCCCCTGGGACTGGGACTGGGACTGCCTATTTAGAGGTGTTTAGAAGATGAGCTCTGAAATGAGCTCTGAGTAAATGTAATAATCACAGCCACCTGCTGGCTAATCTGGTGTGTGTGTGGTCTTGCTCTGGCTCTGACAATATGAAGGGGCCGGGGGCCACAAACAGGGAGAAATGTTCAGGAATCCAGGGTTCAATTTGTTCTGGTTGGCTACTAGAAACCATTATGTATGCTTCTTTACATAAGCATGGACATTTCACAAACACATTAGTTGCTCTATCTCAATACAGACAGTAGTTTTGTTTGGCACAATTGCTTGAGTGAGGGTAGAGAAGCAAGGCATTGTTATTATGAGAACTTTGATCAATTAACTAGACATCATTTTGCATTAGAGTGTATGAGGATTCGCCCACTCAGAGGTACAATTTCAAACTGTAATATCAGATATGCTCTGTTCCACATCATTATCAGCATCTCTCTAAGCAGTTTTGAGACAGTCATTTAGTTGTTTCCTCAACAGTAACCAAGAGGCAGTCTATGCTTGACTGACCATGTACATGTTACAGAATCTATTCGCCTTATCCACCTCATGGAATATGTAATCAAGACTCTGTAACAACTTTCCCCTTTCCTCCACTTTGTAGAATATATCTCCCTCTTCCTATGCATGGCACAACCTCAAGTGTTTGCTAAGAGGTACATTTAAGCGTCTTTTTTCACAGCCATCCAGTCCAGTGTGTGATCCCATCTCCCATTCGCACTACATGGCAAGTGGCTAGGAGGCTGGTAGGCAGGGAGGCCCCCGAGGGGTGAACAGATATCCGGGGCCCACATGGCCCAGCTCCAGTTATCTCTACCTCACAGCTACATTGTGATGCTCCAGTCATGAGAACGGGCATCAGGCCCCTTGGAGCCCACTCGGAAACAGCAGTTCCATTTACATCTCACTGGCCCTCCCTGGCGCTCCTTGGCACCACATGCAATATAACCAGCAGCACACTGGAGAGTCTGAAGAAGTGGTCTAAAGCAAAAACTCACAACATAGTTAGATTCACAATGTAGTTAGATTCACACAAGAGCCTTGCCTTACGTGCTATACAGACATTTCACTGCATTGTACGGTGTGGAGTACTGTTGTACGGTGTATTGTGCTGATTTGAATTGGGATAGTTCTTTGGTGTGTGAGAGAGGTGGTGTGGGAAAAGGCTAGTTAAGCTGTGTGTTTAAAGCCGTTTAAAAGGCTGCTGCCATAGTCTCTGGGTGTATCTGATGGCTCTATTACTCACTGCTCCTTGAGGTCTTACTTTCTTTAGTTGAAATGAGAATCCAAGGTGCCTACTGCCTCCGTTAATCTATCAAGTGTGTGTGTTTATGTGTGTGTGTTTGTGTGTGTGTGTGTGTGCACAGCAGCCAGCGAGCTTCCTCTCTCGTCTCTCTTCCACTTCTAAGTGGTGCGCGGTGCGTTGCTAGGACAACTCCTCTGGGTGCTGGCTGCATTGCTACGTCTCTCAAAGCCGGAGCTTGGGGAACCTCCTCGCCCCGGGAACGCAGAATAAAATCAGAATAATCACTGTCGATTATGGGACACAATGGCCTGCCACTTCTGAAAGATTCATTCATTCCGTAAAAAGAGAACTTTGGAGGGAGGGGGAGGGCAAGGGGGGGAGAGAGAGGGGAACCTCACTCCCCTCTCCCCTCCTCTTCTTTGCTCTCCCACGGTGGGCATAGGCATGACATCAGCAGCCCTCAATGGGACTGGCTTTCTGGACATGCCCGCTGCCCCCCTCCAACCCCTCTTACCCTCCATACCCACCTCCCTCCCTCCCCTCCCTCCCTTTCTCGCCCCTGCCAGCTTGGACCCAGTGCTTGGCTGGACAACTTGGGGCCAACACCACTATTTGCGTGAGAGACAAAAGCCCCTCAGAGGAAGAAGAGGGGAAGCGGAGAGCTTCACATGGTCCCAGCCAAGAGCAGGGATGGCTGCCTCCCTCTCTCCCGCCCCTCCTTTGGCTTGGTGGTGGTGGTGTGACCCCTGTATGCCCGTATCCTCCTCTCCCCCTCCCTCCTCATCCCCAAAATGGTCTCTTTCCTCTCCGAGCTAGAGCTCTTTGAAGTAGTATGACATGTCAAGGGATTTGGAATGAGTGATTTCTCATGCCACAACCTCTGTTGACGGTGATGGCATTCCCCTGGCTTTTGTTGGGCTGATGGGCATTTGTCTGGGAGAGGAAATAGCTTTTCAACACATTTCCTTCATTAGATCTAGAATGATGTGGTACTGCTCTATAGGTTGTGTAATCCCATGCTGCTGGGAGACAGGGGACAAATCAACATGACACCCAACTTTAGAGGTGTTCTCCTTCGTCTGTGAAGTCAACTTTCAGTCTGAATGCAGTGATAAATCTGTTTTAGATATTGTCCTCCTAATGTTCCCTATAGCCTAAAGTTTCCCTGACATTAGATACTGTCTGTCACATATGGAAACATGGTTTCTATTTTTATATCAATCTGATGGATAAACTATTATATAAATTAGAAAACCAATATACAGAGACTGAAAAACAGCTTCTATCTCAAGGCCATCAGACTGTTAAATAGTCACCACTAGCCGGCTTTCACCCAGCACCCTACCCTGAACTTTAGTCTCTGTCACTAGCTGGCTACCACCCGATTACTCAACCCTGCACCTTAGAGGCTGCTGCCTATGTACATAGAAATGGAACACTGGTCACTTTAATAATGGAACACTGCTCACTTTAATAATGTTTTCATGCTGTTTTACTCATTTCCTATGTACAGTTGAAGTCGGAAGTTTACATACACCTTAGCCAAATACATTTAAACTCAGTTTTTCACAATTACTGACATTTAATTCTAGTAAAAATTCCCTATCTTAGGATCACCACTTTATTTTAAGAATGTGAAATGTCAGAATAATAGTAGAGAGAATTATTTCTTTCAGCTTTTATTTCTTTCATCACATTCCCAGTGGGTCAGAAGTTTACATACACTCAATTAGTATTTGGTAGCATTGTCTTTAAATTGTTTAACTTGGGTCAAACGTTTCGGGTAGCCTTCCACAAGCTTCCCACAATAAGTTGGGAGAATTTTGGCCCATTCCTCCTGACAGAGCTGGTGTAACTGAGTCAGGTTTGTAGGCCTCCTTGCTCGCACACGCATTTTCAGTTCTGCCCACAAATGTTCTATAGGATTGAGGTCAGGGCTTTGTGATGGCCACTCCAATACCTTGACTTTGTTGTCCTTAAGCCATTTTGCCACAACTTTGGAATTATGCTTGGGGTCATTGTCCATTTGGAAGACCCATTTGCGACCAAGCTTTAACTTCCTGACTGATGTCTTGAGATGTTGCTTCAATTTATCCACATAATTTTCCTTCCTCATGATGCCATTTATTTTGTGAAGTGCACCAGTCCCTCCTGCACAAAGCACCCCCACAGCATGATGCTGCCACCCCCGTGCTTCACGGTTGGGAGGGTGTTCTTCGGCTTGCAAGCCTTCCCCTTTTTCCTCCAAACATAACGATGGTCATTATGGCCAAACAGTTCTATTTTTGTTTCATCAGACCAGAGGACATTTCTCCAAAAAGTACAATCTTTGTCCCCATGTGCAGTTGCAAACCGTAGTCTGGATTTTTTAATGGCGGTGTTGGAGCAGTGGCTTCTTCTTTGCTGAGTGGCCTTTCAGGTTATGTTGACATAGGACTTGTTTTACTGTGGATATAGATACTTTTGTACCTGTTTCCTCTTCACAAGGTCCTTTGCTGTTGTTCTGGGATTGATTTGCACTTTTCGCACCAAAGTACATTCATCTCTAGGAGACAGAACGCGTCACCTTCCTGAGCGGTATGACGGCTGCATGGTCCCATGGTGTTTATACTTGCGTACTATTGTTTGTACAGATGAACGTGGTACCTTCAGGCATTTGGAAATTGCTCCCAAGGATGAACCAGAACTGTGGAGGTCTACACATTTTTTTAATAAGTGAAATAATCTGTCTGTAAACAATTGTTGAAAAGTGGTTGAAAAACTAGTGTTAATGACTCCAACCTAAGTGTATGTAAACTTCCGACTTCAACTGTATATAATGTATTCTAGTCAAGGCCTGTCCTATTTAACTATTTCTGTACATATACTATTCTATGCTATGTATTCTACATATATATTACATATTCTATCCATATACTGTCCATAATGTCTATACATCCCATCATATATATGTATTTATTTATACTCCGGACTCCGACATTGCTCGTCCTAATATTTATATATTTTTTAAGTCCATTCTTTTACTTTTTAGATTTGTGTGTATTGTTGTGTATTGTTAAATATTACTGCACTGTTGGAGCTAGGAACACAAGCATTTCACTACACCCAAAATAACATCTGCTGAATATGCGTATGAGACCAATACAATTTAATTGTATATATACAGTTCTTCATCTCATGTACATTGCAACATACAGTAGTTCTTATTTTAGAAACATTCTGATGCATATGCAGATATCATTTAGGATTAAAAGTTGATCAGTAACCATCATGATGGGACTTATCCCCTCTATGTTGTATATTGATCACTATTTCCCTGCATAAAATTAATCCCTTGTGACTTCCACATTACCAGGATGCAGAGGTCAGCTGATGCAACATTTCCCCCTGTACCAGTACTGAGGATGCTGGGTGATATACACTGTATTTGGTCTGATGACATAGCTGGATACTGTTTTCCATTAACGTCTCATCCTCTGACCATGACGTCAATGTCAGCATTATATACATCAAATCTTCAGTTAAACATTATTCCCATCCATAAAGGGACATGCTTAATAAGCACTGACCATGTCATGCCTTTAGAGAGCTCTCCTTTCTCTCAGTCTCTCTCACTGGCCCATCCAGAGGATATGAAGCCCAGACTTGCTTTCTGGGGGGTTACAGCTAGAAGCAGCCAGTAGGAAATAGATGGAGGAACCCCCACAACAGATTTTCACTCTTAAACTGGGCTGTTGACTCCTCCCTCTAGCCCTCTGTGTGGTGTGTATGAGTCTGTGTATGTGAGAGTGTGTGTGGTTCCTTTGCACAGTAGTCTGGTCCACTTCAACGGTAGTGACAGACATCAGGACTGACTGGGAAGCTCTGGTCAGTGTGGCTGAGGCAGGATGCTTATCTCTCTCTGGATGCTAAAGAAATGTTGCTGGCCTACTGTGAACTGTAGCTGAGTTTTTGGGAAGATCCAGTTGTAGCACTCAGAGGTCAATGTGCTGGGGTGTGTTGTCTTCTGATGTACTTACGACAGTGTCTGGAGCACCAGTGTTTCCACCTTGTCTTTCTACTGGCTGATTGACTCTTTCTATACAGCATAGCCTGAGGCTGAAGATTATCCAACCTTGGTCAATGTACATGTCACGATCGTCTAAGGAGGGAGAGGACCAAGGCGCAGCGTTGAAAGCAAACATATTTATTTTATCAAGATCACACGATCAAAACAACGAAACGTGACGTCCTTGGTTACAAAAACAAACCAACACGGAACAAGAAACCACAACACAAAGTGAAAAGACCGATAGTTAAATATGGCTCCCAATCAGAGACAACCAGCTGTCACTCGTTGCCTCTGATTGGGAGTCACTCAGCCCAACATAGAAAATCAAACATAGAATACACACCCTGGCTCAACATAACATTGTCCCCAGAGCCAGGGCGTGACAGTACACAGCACCCAGCTAGCACATAACGCTCTGAGAACCATATGTTTCTTTCGTGGGAATTTCTGTACTTCAGCATTTCCTCATGGTTTTATATAAAGTCATGTTCTCAGAACATTAAGAAAACGTTCCATAAAAACCACAAGAAACATTAGTAAAGTTCAAAGAACATTCTAAGAATGCTATGTAAAAACATATACATTCCATTCTCAGCGTCAACAAAACTCTCTCTATCCTCTATCTTGTTAAGTGTGTTCAGGTGTGTTGGCCATGCCCACTAATTGGCCACACCCGATCTTAATGAGTGCTTGTTTCCTTTGAAATGGGGTCTGTTTGAATAGACGAAAATGAACAGCTTTGTATGAGTAAAAATAAAACATCACATGCTAGTTCCATCCTGCTGGCACAGTGGACTAATTCCATGGATATAAAACAGAAGATCGTAGGTTTGAATCTCAGTAACGCTGTGCCACAATAAAATATAAATATGTTTGTATGATTAATGCCTAAGCAAATTAATTTTCATTTGTGCTTGGAGTTCAAAACAGTTCAACTAAGCTAGTCTTATTGAAGCAATTTCTCAGAACGTTAATAAAACCTCCCAGGAAGACTTTGAGGAAACCATAGTAAAACTCTCCCAGAAGCTCCCTGCAACCTAAAAATGTACGTTTCTAGAACAGACAAAATGTTCACTTCCATTCGCAGAATGTAAAAAAAACGTTCAGTTTCACTAGTCAGGAAACCTATGGCTTCATTCCCAGAACCAATGGGAAACCAAAAACATACATTCCCAGAACTTCCAAGGAACCAAATGTGCTAGCTGGGCACTCACCACACCAGAGATTAAGTAAGTGCATTCCTGCATTCCTCTGCTCATCTCTTTTCATCTCTGGCACATTGATCCTATTGTTGATCAATGAAATAGCATCTGTCGGCTGGTGTCTCCAATCAGCAGAGAAAATCTGCGCTGTTGGAACATGCAGAGGTTTCAATGTGTCTAGTGCATTTTCTACAGGCAGCTTATACTCACCCGATAGGGTTATTGTCATAACAATTGATGCTGAGTAAGACAAAAATCAAGTCCAGGAAACAGAAATATATTTTTGCATGGAAAGATCAGACTTGTGACGTAGTGTTCTAAATCATTATGCACAATGTGAAGGTACCGTCTGTGCCTAGAAAGAGACTGTCTATAGGCCTAAAGAGCGTCTGCTAAATGACTCAAATGTAAATGTAAAGGTGTGTTCACATGGCATTAGCCATAAAGTGATATGATCACAGATCGCATGTCTGGCCATGGGGGTTCGACCTTAATTCCATTACACAGGAACTAAACAGAATGGGGATGTTCAGGTTTTTATGCCTACTGTCCCCATGTCACCTCTCACCTACTGTGTATCAAGCCTTTATTGGCCTAGTGAGAAGTGCACCTACTAAGAAACCCAATGTCCTTTCCATGATTAATAATACAGCATTTATGTGTGACAATGCACCTATATCATATGAGGCAGTAAAATGATGGACAGCCTACTGTCACATACTGAAATGTCACCTTTCCCCATGTGTTCTGATGATACAAATGTGAAGTTAGATGTGCCAAAAAATACATGTATATGGATATGGACAGACAGGGTGTTTTCTGCTGCAAAAATAAATTTGCCACAAATGCAGGATAATGAAGCTGTCATTCAACCTGACATTTCCAGGGTTACATCATTGTCATGGTAAAGAAGTGAAAGTGATGGGAGGGGTTCACTGGTATACAGACATCTCCCATGTCCTACTGTATCACAATGAGTGGATCCATGCCTTAGCTTAGTAACTGACACCTTCACATCACCTGGGCCAGCTACTGTTCTGAACTCAATTACTCTGACCAGGCCTCTGAGCTCCGATTAAATCAAATCAAAGCAATTGTTATTTGTCACATGCACTGAATACAACTGGTGCAATACAACCTTAACGTGAAATGCTTACTTACAATTAATTCCTTGACCAACATTGCCGTCTAAAAAAAAAGTAAGTAAGAAAATATTTGTAAAAATAAATAACTAATAAAAATAAATAAACAAAAGTTAAAAAAGGTAACACAATAAAATGACAATAACGAGGCTATATACAGGGGTACCGGTACCGAGCCAATGTGCGGGGGTACAGGTTAGTCGAGGTAATTGAGGTAATATGTACATTTAGGTAGGGGTAAAGTGACTATGCATAGATAATAAACAGCGACTGAACACACCGATTCTGCATGTGTCTTGGGGTTTTGGTTCGATGTGTCAGTTACTGATGTTTGTCCGCCATGAGACACCATAGGAACAAAGCCAGTATATTTAAGACAAAACTGACTTTATGACCAACATGATCCTATTTACACTTTGTAGTACATTTTGACACTAGAATCAATATTTCAGACTAATATTGATGCCACATAGGCCGTCTTCTAACAGTTGTTTATTGTTATTTTGTAAGGGTGATAGTTCTATGTGAAACCACAATGCCTCCAATAACCCTTGGAGCCCTTTAATGGTTCTTTGTAGTTCAGAAAAGTGTTCTTTCCTCTTTCTTAAATAATTAAAATGTAGGGGCGGAGGCTCAATAGCGTATTTTTGGGGGTGGTTTGCACATCTTTTTTTGGGTGCAACCGTGAGTGAGAATGTCATTCCAGTTAATCTAATCTATTGTGTTAAATAACATTTTAAATAAATATTAAGAGCTTGGGACAATAAGATTCAATCTGCTTTTTTGTCAAAATTGAGTTATTGACATAGCCTTGTTCTGTTCAATGTTCTCTACCTATATATTTCTCAAAATACCCCAATTCATTTAGTTAAGTTTGAAAGAATACAAGATTAAATTGCTGACACCATTCAAACCAATGAGGGTTCGGAATTTTAAAGCCAATTATCTCAGAATCATATTTTTGTAGATAGAACCTTATAGTCCCAAGCTCTCGATATGACTATGGCCAGTAATCGTGTCTCATGAAATATTTACATATGGCCTTGTGTCAATTGAGAACTGTTGTCCAAATCAGTGCTTCTCAATTCTCTCCACATGGACCCCCAGCCGGTAGAGAGTTTGATTCAACTTGTCTATTAACAGAATAATAACTCCTATGGAATTTTAACAATATAATATGGCTAACCAGAAGAAAAAAAACCTGTTCTTCAAAAGGTTACTGGTAGAACCTTCGAGATTGAAAAAGATAAATGTTCTGTAAGGATACAGCGCATTCGGAAAGTATTCAGGCCCGTTCCCTTTTTCCACATTTTGTTATGTTACAGCCTTATTCTAAAATTGATTACATTATTTTTTTTACTCATCAATCTACACACAATAACCCATAATGACAAAGCGAAAACAGGTTTATAGAAATGTTTGCAAATTTATTAAAAATAACAAACAGATTATTTACATAAGTATTCATACCCTTTGCTATGAGACTCAAAATTGAGCTCAGGTGCATCCTGTTTCCATTGATCATCCTTGAGATGTTTCTACAACTTGATTGGAGTCCGCCTATGGTAAATTCATTTGATTGGACATGATTTGGAAAGGCACACCTGTCTATATAAGGTCCCACAGTTGACAGTGCATGTCAGAGCAAAAACCAAGCCATGAGGTTGAAGGAATTGTCTGTAGAGCTCCGAGACAGGATTGCCACTCCTCAGTAAAAGGCACATGATAGCCCGCTTGGAGTTTGCCAGAAGGCACCTAAAGGACTCTCAGATCTGAAACAAGATTCTCTGGTCTGATGAAACCAAGATTGAATTATTTGGCTTGAATGCCAAGTGTCACGTCTGGAGGAAACTTGGCACCATCCCTACGGTGAAGCATGGTGGCGGCAGCATCATGCTGTGGGGATGTTTTTCAGCGGCAGGGACTGGGAGACTAGTCAGGATCGTGGGAAAGATGAACGGAGCAAAGTACAGAGAGATTCTTGATGAAAAACTGCTCTTTATAAAAAAATTAAAAACATTGACAGATTTAGAACTAATATCATGGATCACCCTTCACTCTGCTTTTAAAGTCTCTAAAAATATTCAAAGTAAGTCCCTAGTTTAGTCAGAAGAAAATCTGAACATTAAGAACTCTCATCCTAAACACCAGCAGTCAAATGCACACAAATACTCTATGACGCAATCAAAATCAGCCAGAGGCCAGGGAAATGCCAACTTGAGACCAAACTCTCCAGGGAGGTTGTCACGATCGTCGTTAGATGAAGCGGACCAAGGCGCAGCGTGATATGCGTACATTCTTTTATTGCAGTACACAACACGAACCAAAACAACAAAACAAATGATATGTGAAGTCCTGGGTTGAACAAAAAACCTTCCGGAACAAGATCCCACAAAATAACAGTGCCAAACAGGCTGCCTAAGTATGGTCCCCAATCAGAGACAACAAGCTACAGCTGCCTCTGATTGGGAACCACCCTGGCCAACATAGATATACACGAACTAGAACACACACCTAGAAAACTAAACAATAGAAAATCCACAACCTGGCTCAACATTTAATAGTCCCCAGAGCCAGGGCGTGACAGAGGTTCCCAGTGAGGGAGTGGGAGGGTGACTTTAATGGTCAACTGATTTCAGCTGACATCTCCAGCATCCCAGAGGAAAAAACAGGTTCCCCTAGGGGTGGGCCACGGTCGCCTTACAGTGCCTTGCAAAAGTATTCATCCCACTTGGCGTTTTTCCTATTTTGTTGCATTACAACCTGTAATTTAAATGGATTTTTATTTGGATTTCATGTAATAGACACACACAAAATAGTCCAAATTGGTGAAGTGAAATGAAAAAATAACTTCTTTCAGAAAATTCAAAAAAATAACTAATGGAAAAGTGGTGCGTGCATATGTATTCACCCCCTTTGCTATGAAGCCCCTAAATAAGATCTGGTGCAAACAATTACCTTCAGAAGTCACATAATTAGTTAAATAAAGTCCACCTGTGTGCAATCTAAGTGTCACATGATCTGTCACATGATCTCAGTATATATACACCTGTTCTGAAAGGCCCCAGAGTCTGCAACACCACTAAGCAAGGGGAACCACCAAGCAAGTGGCACCATGAAGACCAAGGAGCTCTCCAAACAGGTCAGGGACAAAGTTGTGGAGAAGTACAGATCAGGTTTTTTTTTATTTTTTTATCAGAAACTTTGAACATCCCACAGAGCACCATTAAATCCATTATTAAGAAATGGAAAGAATATGGCACCACAATAAACCTGCCAAGAGAGGGCCGCCCACCAAAACTCACGGACCAGGCAAGGAGGGCATTAATCAGGGAGGCAACAAAGAGACCAAAGATAACCCTGAAGGAGCTGCAAAGCTCCACAGCGGAGATTTGAGTATCTGTCCATAGAACAACTTTAAGCCGTACACTCCACAGAGCTGGGCTTTACGGAAGTGTCAGTAGGTGCTGTAGGTGGGTGTGGTGCAGGAATCAGGCGCAGGACGCAGAAACTTAGTCCAAAAGACTTTAGTGAACAATCACTTAGAACACGAGCCAAAAAGCCCGGAGGCGAGAAAATACGCACACAGGCGTAAAACAAAATGTGCACTAACATGTGCGAGAACCCTCTCCAAACAGAGGAGGAAACAACGAAGCACAGACAACCAACAGTAGCGCAATCACACACAACACATGACAAAACACAACGAGAACTTATAGGACAATAATGAGCGCTAAACGATAACAGGTGTACAACATAAAGACAAAACCAAACGAACATCGAAACATACAACGGTGGCAGCTAGTACTCCGGGGACGACGACCGCCGAAGCCTGCCCGAGCAAGGAAGAGAGGCAGCCTCGGCCGAAACCGTGACAGGAAGAGTGGCCAGAAAAAAGCCATTGCTTAAAGAAAAAAATAAGCACGCTTGGTGTTCGCCAAAAGGCATGTGGGAGACTCCACAATCATATGGAAGAAGGTACTCTGGTCAGATGAGACTAAAATTGAGCTTTTTGGCCATCAAGGAAAACGCTATGTCTGGCGCAAACCCAACACCTCTCATCACCCCGATGGACACCATCCCCACAGTGAAGCATGGTGGTGGCAGCATCATGCTGTGGGGATGTTTTTCATCGGCAGGGACTGGGAAACTGGTCAGAATTGAAGGATGGCGCTAAATACAGGGAAATTCTTGAGAGAAACATGTTTCAATCTTCCAGAGATTTGAGACTGGGACAGAGGTTCACCTTCCAGCAAGACATTGACCCTAAGCATACTGCTAAAGCAACACCTGAGTGGTTTAAGGGGAAACATTTAAATGTCTTGGAATGGCCTAGTCAAAGCCCAGACCTCAATCCAATTGAGAATATGTGGTATAACATAAAGATTGCTGTACACCAGCGGAACCCATCCAACTTGAAGGAGCTGGAGCAGTTTTGCCTTGAAGAATGAGACAAAAATCCCGGTGGCTAGATGTGCCAAGCTTATAGAGACATACCCCAGGAGACTTGCAGCTATAATTGCTGCAAGAGGTGGCTCTACAAAGTATTGACTTTAGGGGGGTGAATAGTTATGCACGCCCAAGTTTTCTGTTTTTTTGTCTTATTTCTTGTTTTTTTTCACAATAAAAAATATTTTGCATCTTCAAAGTTATAGGCATGTTGTGTAAATCAAATGATACAAACTCCCAAAAATCCATTTTAATTCTAGGTTGTAAGGCAACAAAATAGGAAAAATGCCAAAGGGGGCGAATACTTTCGCAAGCCTCTGTATCTGGACCATATACAGTATCTCTCTTCCTTTCTTTACCTCGCATGTTCTTTCTCCATCCCACCCCTTCTCCTCTCTCTCTACTTCATATCTTCTATATTTCTCCATTGTATGTCCTGAGGTTCCACTCAGCATGGCCTACAGGAACTGAAATGGAACTGAAATGGGGCTTTGACCAGTAATTATCCCTGTCTGTCCATACTCTGCAATACTATTAGCAGGAAGCAGGAAGCACCAGTGACTCGGTTAATAAAAAAGTGGTCAGATGACGCAGATGCTAAGCTACAGGACTGTTTTGCTAGCACAGACTGGAACATGTTCCGGGATTCTTCAGATAGCATTGAGGAGTACACCACATCAGTCACTGGCTTCATCAATAAGTGCATCGATGATGTCGTCCCCACAGTGACCATACGTACATACCCCAACCAGAAGCCATGGATTACAGGAAACATCCGCACTGAGCTAAAGGGTAGAGCTGCCGCTTTCAAGGAGCGGGACTCTAACCCGGACGCTTATAAGAAATCCCGCTATGCCCTCCGACGAACCATCAAACAGGCAAAGAGTCAATACAGGACTAAGATTGAATCGTACTACACCGGCTCTGACGCTCGTCGGATGTGGCAGGGCTTGAAAACTATTACAGACTACAAAGGGAAGCACAGCCGCGAGCTTCCCAGTGACACAAGCCTACCAGACGAGCTAAACCACTTCTATGCTCGCTTCGAGGCAAGCAACACTGAAGCATGCATGAGAGCACCAGCTGTTCCGGATGACTATGTGATCACGCTCTCCATAGCAGATGTGAGTAAGACTTTTAAGCAGGTCAACATTCACAAGGCCGCAGGGCCAGACGGATTACCAGGACGTGTACCCGAGCATGTGCTGACCAACTGGCAAGTGTCTTCACTGACATTTTCAACATGTCCCTGACTGAGTCTGTAATACCAACATGTTTCAAGCAGACCACCATAGTCCCCGTGCCCAAGGACACTAAGATAACCTGCCTAAATGACTACCGACCCGTATCACTGACGTCTGTAGCCATGAAGTGCTTTGAAAGGCTGGTCATGGCTCACATCAACACCATTATCCCAGAAACCCTAGACCCACTCCAATTTGCATACCGCTCCAACAGATCCACAGATGATGCAATCTCTATTGCACTCCACACTGCCCTTTCCCACCTGGACAAGAGGAACACCTGCGTGAGAATGCTATTCATTGACTACAGCTCAGCATTCAACACCACAGTGCCCTCAAAGCTCATCACTAAGCTAAGGATCCTGGGACTAAACACCTCCCTCTGCAACTGGATCCTGGACCTCCTGACAGGCCGCCCCCATTTGGTAAGGGTAGGTAACAACACATCTGCCACACTGAACCTCAACACGGGGGCCCCTCAGGGGTGCGTGCTCAGTCCCCTCCTGTACTCCCTCTTCACCCATGACTGCATGGCCAGGCACGACTCCAACACCATCATTAAGTTTGCCGACGACACAACAGTGATAGGCCTGATCACAGACAACGATGAGACAGCCTATAGGGAGGAGGTCAGAGACCTGGCCGTGTGGTGCCAGGATAACAACCTCTCCCTCAACGTGACCAAGACAAAGGAGATGATTATGGACTACAGGAAAAAAAAGAGAACTGAGCACGCCCTGATTCTCATCGACGGGGCTGTAGTGGAACAGGTTGAGAGCTTCAAGTTCCTTGGTGTCCACATCACCAACAAACTATCATGGTCCAAACACACCAAGACAGTCGTGAAGAGGGCACAACAAAGCCTATTCCCCCTCAGGAGACTGAAAAGATTCGGCATGGGTCCTCAGATCCTCAATAAATTCTACAGCTGCACCATCGAGAGCATCCTGACTGGTTGCATCACCACCTGGTATGGCAACTGCTTGGCCTCCGACCGCAAGGCACTACAGAGGGTAGTGCGTACGGCCCAGTACATCACTGGGGACAAGCTTCTTGCCATCCAGGACCTCTATACCAGGCGGTGTCAGAGGAAGGCCCTCAAAATTGTCAAAGACTCCAGCCACCCTAGTCATAGACTGTTCTCTCTGCTACCGCACGGCAAGCAGTACCGGAGTGCCAAGTCTAGGTCCAAAAGACTTCTCAACAGCTTCTACCCCCAAGCCATAAGACTCCTGAACAGCTAATCATGGCTACCCGGACTATTTGCACTGCCCCCCCACCCCATCTTTTTACGCTGCTGCTACTCTGTTAATTATTTATGCATAGTCACTTTAACTCTACCCACATGTACATATTACTTCAACTACCTCAACTAGCCGGTGCCCCCGCACATTGACTCTGCACCGGTATCCCCCTGTATATATAGCCTCCCTACTGTTCTTTTATTTTACTTCTGCTCTTTTTTCTCAACACTTTTTTGTTGTTGATTTATTTTACTTTTTTATTAAAAATAAATGCACTGTTGGTTAAGGGCTGTAAGTAAGCATTTCACTGTAATGTCTGCACCTGTTGTATTCGGCGCATGTGGCCAATAAAATTTGATTTGATTTGATTTGATGGTCACAAACGGTAGCAGATGGGATGATAGCATAGTCATGTCTTGTAGACATTTTAAGTATCCTAATTAATTGAATGGGAAGTGATTGCTCATTAGACCAGTCTAAACAAGTTGAGTCTATTTGTGTTGAGTTGTGAGTGTGTTAATTGGGTTGGAGGAGAATGACGATAACATGTTGGGAAAGAGAAGGATTGGTTGGCTGGAGAGCAGAGGTGTCATGCGCATAGTGGGCACAAGGGCATGTGCCCACTCAGATTTTTAAAAATGTAATTTGTATATATATACTGAAAAAGAATATGAACGCAACACGTAAAGTCCCCTGTAGCTCAGTTGGTAGAGCATGGCGCTTGCAATGCCAGGGTTGTGGGTTTGTTTCCCACGGGGGGCCAGTATGAAAATGTATGCACTCACTAACTGTAAGTCGCTCTGGATAAGAGCGTCTGCTAAATTACTAAAATGTAAAGGGTTAGTTCCGTGAGCTGAAATAAAAGATCCCAGAAATGTTCCATACCCACAAAAAGCTTATTTCTTTCAAATGTTGTGCACACATTTGTTTACATCCCTGTTAGTGAGCATTTCTCCTTTGCCAAGATAATCCATCCACCTGACAGGTGTGGCATATCAAGAAGCTGATTAAACTGCATGATCATTACATAGGTGCACCTTGTGCTGGGGACAATAAAAGGACACTCTAAGATATGCAGTTTTGGAACACAACACAATGCCACAGATGTCTAAAGTTTTGAGGGAGCGTGCAATTGGCATGCGGAATGCAGGAATGTCCACCAGAGCTGTTGCCAGATAATGTAATGTTCATTTCTCTACCATAAGCCGCCTCCAATGTCATTTTCGAGAATTTGGTAGTATATCCAACTGGCCTCACAACCACAGACCATGTGTAACCACGCCAGCCCAGGACCTCCACATCCGGCTTCTACACCTGCTGGATCGTCTGAGACCAGCCACCCGGACAGCTGATGAAACTGGGTTTGCATAATCGAATAATTTCTGCACAAACTGTCAGAAACCATCTCAGGGAAGCTCATCTGCGTGCTCGTCGTCCTCACCAGGGTCTTGACCTGACTGCAGTTCCGCGTCGTAACCGACTTCAGTGGGAAATGCTCACCTTCGATGGCCACTGGCACGCTGGAGAAGTGTGTTCTTCACAGATGAATCCCGGTTTCAACTGTACCAGGCAGACAGCAGACAGTGTGTATGGCGCGTCGTGTGAGCGAGCGGTTTTCTGATTTAATCCTTGTGAACAGAGTGACCCATGGTGGCGGTGGGGTTATGGATTGGGCAGGCATACAGTAAGTTACGGACAACGAGCACAATTGTATTTTATCAATGGGAATTTGAATGCAGAGATACTGTGACGAGATCCTGAGGCCCATTATTGTGCCATTCGTCCGCCGACATCCACTGATGTTTCAGTATGATAATGAACGGCCCCATGTCACAAGGATCTGTTCACAATTCCTGGAAGCTGAAAATGTCCCAGTTCTTCCATGGCCTGCATACTCACCAGACATGTCACCCATTGAGCATATTTGGGATCTTTTGGATTGAAGTGTACGACAGCTTGTTCCAGTTCCCGCCAATATCCAGCAACTTCGCACAGCCATTGAAGAGGAGTGGGATAACATTCCACAGGCCACAATCAACAGCCTGATCAACTCTATGCGAAGTGAAATGGTGGTCACACCAGGTAGTGACTGGTTTTCTGATCCACGCCCCAACTTTTTTTTTAAAGGTATCTGTGAGCAACAGATGCATATCTGTATTCCCAGTCATGTGAAATACATAGATTAGGGCCTAATTTATTTATTTCAATTGACTGATTTCCTTATATGAACTGTAACTCAGTAAACATTTTGAAATTGTTGCATGTTGGGTTTATATTTTTGTTCAGTGTATATATTTACAAAATACAATATTCTCTCTAGTAAGTGGTTCCTTCCAAGGTGCACCACGGAGCAAAGATATGCAAGGCAGGAGGCTAGATACTTTAGTGCATGCAGACAGTATTGTCAGTGAAGGAGGAGAGAGAGTGTCGAGTGACACATAGCATTTTATTGGATTTTATCTGTCGGTCATAGGCAGGACTCGCAGAAGGTATGTTTATAAATTAATATGATCAAGCTATGTAAAATATTGATTCCTTCTTGATGAACAAATGCAATTAAAATATGTTGTTGTTTCACTGAAATACTAGCCACCTACTGTAGCAATTTAATTCAGTTTGCTTTAGCTAGCTAGCTAGATTAGTTCCCAATCTCCCAACCTCATAACTAGCTACCAAGCCATTTCAGGCTATCAATCAAGTAAGAGTAGCTTGTCTACCAATCTTAGCTGGCATGCCTGCTGGCAAAAATACCTTTAATTATTGAGTTAAAATACTATATACCAGTGTGACAGTTGTACTAAACTCCTAAGGCATAATAGTTCTTAAAGTATCAATGTGCATCTTTAATTAAAATTACAATTGAACAGGTAAAGAGGTATGCTTAGATAACCTATGCAGAAAAATATATATATATTTTTTTACATAGAATTAGGTATAATGATTATGGCTCTAGATTCCTGGACAAAGCTATTTCAGGTGTATGAAAAATGCGAAATGTTTTTAACAGACTCCCTCATGACCACCCCATCCATCTTCACGTACTTCGTGCCCCCTCTAAAATAATGGATGCATGATGCCTTTGCTGGGGAGAGTGACACATCTTTGTTTCTCAATTCATACATCTGTATTATGTCATTTCCAATCCACTGTCCAAGCAATTTGTTTTTAAAAAATCATTCGAATGTCACTTTTAAAACATCAGTCAATTATTTCACATACAGAGAGACTACAGCAAACCAAAATTGGTTCTGTGAAAGTTCACAGAACATTTGTTAGGTTACGACAAATGTTCTCATAACACATAAACTGTCCAGTCGTGGTGATGATTATAGAATGTTTGTATAAAACATTCACCTGATATAGCAAGAATGTTCCTAGAACACATTTTATCTGTTCTTTAAGCCTCTGCGCCAAGCTTTTTTTCAGTCAAATATGATCAATCCGGACACAGAACACAATTTCTGGGTTATTAAAATGTTCCCATCCTCTTCATATGCTGTGTACTTGTAACACTGTAATTTTCATCACGTGTTGAAAGTCTTATGAAATGTGATTTTAATTGGATAGGGCTTCCTTTAAATAACTTGTATTCTTGTGTATTCATATGCTTCTTAAATACAGACTCAGAAGCTTCAAACTAAATCAGAAAACCTTTTCTCAATTTCAAAATCACATTTCATGACACTTTCAACACATGTTCTTGCAACATCAGGCAAATGTTTTATACAAACATTATATAATCATCAGCATGAATGGACAGTTTCTGTGTTATGAGAACATGTGCCTTGACCTAACAAATGTTCTGGGAACTTTCACATGTACTGTATATATATATATATATATATATATATATATATATATATATATATATATATATATATAAAAAAAAATCTTTTTTTTGAATGTTTTGGGGATGTTATCATCATAATGTTAGATAAAACCCTAACTAGAACTTAATGGGCATCTTAGCTAATGTTCTGGGAAGGTTCACGGTTTGCTGGGATGATTGTTTCACTTGTTATCATATGCCCATTGACTCTATTAAGGAAGCGTGACAGTTAATAAATGACAAAAAAAGGACAAAAAGGAAACAATCTGAATAAATAATTCTGAACTTTGACCGTACCCCTGGGGTTAGCAGTACCACAGTCACAAATACACAGAGGGTGTCCCAGTTGCCTCAATAGACCTCTGTTCCTCACATTCTTACCCTCATGGACACTAATGGCTGAAAGGACTTGATAGACTTCCACCTCGTCATCATTTATCAAGTCTTTTCAGAGTTGTAGAGAAAAATAAGTACAGAACACAGAAAGAGAGCAATGTAGCTAAGATTCTGTATTCTCTTGTAGGACAAAGCATAAGTATTGTAAACGTCTGACTTCAAATGTATACAGTGGGGGAAAAAAGTATTTAGTCAGCCACCAATTGTGCAAGTTCTCCCACTTAAAAAGATGAGAGAGGCCTGTAATTTTCATCATAGGTACACGTCAACTATGGCAGACAAATTGAGAAAAAAAAATCCAGAAAATTACATTGTAGGATTTTTAATGAATTTATTTACAAATTATGTTGGAAAATAAGTATTTGGTCACCTACAAACAAGCAAGATTTCTGGCTCTCACAGACCTGTAACTTCTTCTTTAAGAGGCTCCTCTGTCCTCCACTCGTTACCTGTATTAATGGCACCTGTTTGAACTTGTTATCAGTATAAAAGACACCTGTCCACAACCTCAAACAGTCACACTCCAAACTCCACTATGGCCAAGACCAAAGAGCTGTCAAAGCACACCAGAAACAAAACTGTAGACCTGCACCAGGCTGGGAAGACTGAATCTGCAATAGGTAAGCAGCTTGGTTTGAAGAAATCAACTGTGGGAGCAATTATTAGGAAATGGAAGACATACAAGACCACTGACAATCTCCCTTGATCTGAGGCTCCACGCAAGATCTCACCCCGTGGGGTCAAAATGATCACAAGAACGGTGAGCAAAAATCCCAGAACCACACGGGGGGACCTAGTGAATGACCTGCAGAGAGCTGGGACCAAAGTAACAAAGCCTACCATCAGTAACACACTACGCCGCCAGGGACTCAAATCCTGCAGTGCCAGACGTGTCCCCCTGCTTAAGCCAGTACATGTCCAGGCCCGTCTGAAGTTTGCTAGAGTGCATTTGGATGATCCAGAAGAGGATTGGGAGAATGTCATATGGTCAGATGAAACCAAAATATAACTTTTTGGTAAAAACTCAACTCGTCGTGTTTGGAGGACAAAGAATGCTGAGTTGCATCCAAAGAACACCATACCTACTGTGAAGCATGGGGGTGGAAACATCATGCTTTGGGGCTGTTTTTCTGCAAAGGGACCAGGACGACTGATCCGTGTAAAGGAAAGAATGAATGGGGCCATGTATTGTGAGATTTTGAGTGAAAATCTCCTTCCATCAGCAAGGGCATTGAAGATGAAACGTGGCTGGGTCTTTCAGCATGACAATGATCCCAAACACACCGCCCTGGCAACGAAGGAGTGGCTTCGTAAGAAGCATTTCAAGGTCCTGGAGTGGCCTAGCCAGTCTCCAGATCTCAACCCCATAGAAAATCTTTGGAGGGAGTTGAAAGTCCGTGTTGCCCAGCGACAGCCCCAAAACATCACTGCTCTAGAGGAGATCTGCATGGAGGAATGGGCCAAAATACCAGCAACAGTGTGTGAAAACCTTGTGAAGACTTACAGAAAACGTTTGACCTGTGTCATTGCCAACAAAGGGTATATAACAAAGTATTGAGAAACTTTTGTTATTGACCAAATACTTATTTTCCACCATAATTTGCAAATAAATTCATAAAAAATCCTACAATGTGATTTTCTGGAATTTACAGCAAAACTTGCAGAGCTGGGAAGATTGTATCCCCCATATAAATAACATTATATTGGTAGCAAGAATTTTATATAATAATTTAAATTGAAAGATTCTAATTTTTGAATCCGGTGTCGTTTTGCGTGTCAGTTCATAAACACTTTGCCATGGGATCGGTACGTCAAAGATCTCTTCCCAACTATTTTGCAATCTATATGGGACGGCTGTCAATCCTTTGGTCCTTAAGTGAAACTGATATACTTTTTTATTTATCACAGTTTTCCTTAACCAATTATGTTCTTTAATGCAAGGCCGACAGACAAGTTCCTTACTTTCTCCCCCTTCCACTTTCCTCTTCCACTTTTGCCGTAAGGCTGCAATTATTTGGTTGTAATTTTGGGTAGAGCAGACATTTCCATATGTTTTTATTAGCTGCATGTGCGACATAACTCCACCAGTCCTACCGATGATATCATTTACGAAGATTATACCTTTTTTAAACATTCTGTCAAAAAATAAAGTTTTTTTGTCAATTAGTATATTTGAATTTAACCACAATGTTTGTTGCATTATTTGTTCTGTCGTTTCTGGAGGATTAAATTGAAATTGCAACCAACTTTCTATGGCTTGTTTTAGAAATAGTGACATTTGGGAGATTATTTCCTTTTCAAATAACTGAAAGTGAGAGGTTGTAATCTGAATAAAGGGAAAAAGGCCTTTCTTGAACATTGGGTGAGACAATCTTACTAATTTGCTTGAGAAACAGTTATATTTTTGTTTCATCAGACCAGAGGACATTTCTCCAAAAAGTACGATCTTTGTCCCCATGTGCAGTTGCAAACCGTAGTCTGGATTTTTTATGGTGGTTTTGAAGCAGTGGCTTCTTCCTTGCTGATCGGCCTTTCAGGTTATGTCGAAATAGGACTTGTTTTACTGTGGATATAGATACTTTTGTACCTGTTTCTTCCAGCATCTTCACAAGGTCCTTTGCTGTTGTTCTGGGATTGATTTGCACTTTTCGCACCAAAGTACATTCATCTCTAGGAGACAGATCACGTCTCCTTCCTGAGTGGTATGACGGCTGCGTGGTCCCATGGTGTTTAGACTTGCGTATTATTGTTTGTACATATGAACGTGGTATCTTCAGGCATTTGTGAATTGCTGCCAAGGATGAACCAGTCTTGTTGAGGTCTACAATTTTCTTTCTGAGGTCTTGGCTGATTTCTTTTCATTTTCACATGATGTCAAGCAAAGAGGCACTGAGTTTGAAGGTAGGCCTTGAAATACATCCACAGGTACACCTCCATTTGACTCAAATTATGTCAATTAGCCTATCAGAAGCTTCTAAAGCCATGACATCATTTTCTGGAATTTTCCAAGCTGTTTAAAGGCACAGTCAACTTAGTATATGTAAACTTCTGACCCACTGGAATTTTGATACAGTGAATTATAAGTGAAATAATCTATCTGTAAACAATTGTTGGAAAAATTACTTGTGTCATGCACAAAGTAGATGTCCTAACCGACTTGCCAAAACTATAGTTTGTTAACAAGACATTTGTGGAGTGATTGAAAAACGAGTTTTAATGACTCCAACCTAAGTGTATGTGAACTTCTGACTTCAACTGTACGTACACACACTCAACAACACATGCTGAGGAGAACACTCAAGAAGGGCGATCTCAGCGTCTATAATGATGTGTTTAAGGCTTGGCTACGGGATAAAGCAGCTGGCCTGCCCCCAGGCACACAGATGGAGCGAAGACTCCCACTTATTAATTTCCTATTTCATACGTGTGAAATGCAGAAAGGACATGTAAACACCATGCACAGGCAAACATTAGTCATCATCACGCTATCATCACGGCTGTTATTATATATATTTTTTATGACAGAACTAACTAAATAAATAGTAAGTCACAAAAAAAGTATTGCTTTTGTTTGTTGGAGGAGAAGCCATATTACTTTTGAAGGACATGTATTAAAAACAGCATTTACTTGACGATGTCATTTTGAGAGAGCTACTGCATGAATGCTCTTAATATAATTTTCCTTTTTCCTTTCTTTTCATTATATTTAGAACGAGGGCGAGGGGGAAGTGGGGAGCGGTGTCAAGGAGGTAGGAAATTACCCACTGGTTGAATCAATGTTGTTTCCACATCATTTCAATGAAGTTACGTTGAACCAACGTGGAATAGACATTGAATTGACGTCTGTGCCCAATGGGTTTTCTGTTATGATTAACTATGAATGGCACTCGCATTAGTTCTCATGTCACAGTGCTAGCCGATACAAGATCGGATCTAAAACGTACAGCTAAGAACCCTCAGATTCAGCAGAATAACAAATTAGAGCAAGTTACAAAGTACAGTAATAGTTACAGTATACAGTTATGGGCACTAAAATCCAGCCTATTTATTTCTCTCTCTCTCTCTCTCTCTCTCTCTCTCTCTCTCTCTCTCTCTCTCTCTCTCTCTCTCTCTCTCTCTCTCTCTCTCTCTCTCTCTCTCTCTCTCTCTCTCTCTCTCTCTCTCTCTCTCTCACAGCTCAGGGACTTGACTTAAAATGCTGCCTCAGATAACAAGACCCTGTCAACAACCGATCTAAGTTTCCAAAATATACCATCTGTTCTGATTAAACAGACTTTGAGGTATTTTTTAAGAGTGCCTGTCTGCCTCTGAGGGAATTCTGTTTTTTAATCAGCAGCTCACAGCCCCTCAACCATTCGTCCTCCATCTGTTGGCTGTCGAAGTAACCCTGGGCAGCCTTGTCTTGACAACCTGCTAGGCAGCAAGCATCACTATGGAGATACCAGAGCACTTATTGTATGACCTGAACATCTAATGTCCTCTATGGATTTAGCATGACAGTACTATCCCATGATCATTCAGATGATCTCACATTGTCTTCTGATGCTTTAAAAGGCTGAGTTGCATTTGGGGATTGGTAATATATTTGACTAATCCAGCCTCCTTACTCAAGCTCACAATATGAGGACAGTCGCAATGACACGTGCTGATCATATAATGTACATCTATAGCTTCTACAGACATGTGACTGCATGGGCCTGTCAGACGCACGTTATGCATTTTTAAATAACTAACTCTCTCTCTCCCTCTGTCTGTATGTCTGTCTGTCTGTCTGTCTGTCTGTCTGTCTGTCTGTCTGTCTGTCTGTCTGTCTGTCTGTCTGTCTGTCTGTCTGTCTGTCTGTCTGTCTGTCTGTCTCTGTCTCTGTCTCTGTCTCTGTCTCTGTCTCTGTCTCTGTCTCTGTCTTTCTCTCTGACACAGTGCCGGCATCATGCCTAAGCAAGTGGAGGTGAGGATGCATGAGAGTCATCTGGAGCCCATCGAGGCCAGGCCCAGGAACAAGTGTATCAGCTGCTTCTCTTCTCTCTTCAAGAACCTGCTGCTCACACTCACCGTGCTCGGTCAGTACAATCGTCAGCTGTTTTACCAAGCACACGATCACAATATCTCTTTCATTCTCTTTCTCTATCTCTATCTCTCTCCCTCTCTCTCTCTCTCTCGCTTCTCTCTACTCTCTCCTTCTCTCTCTCTCCCCTTCCTCTCTCTCTGTCTCTCAGCTCTCCTCGTTCTTCTCTCGTCTCTCATCTCTCTCTCTCTCTCTCTCTCTCACTCTCTTGAGTCTGTCTGTCTGTGTCTAATTGTTTGTTTGCTTGCATGTCCATCAATCCATATACTGTATAATGACAAAGATTAATATCTTACTTGAGATATCAGAGCCCATGATGTGTCTCAAACACCTCTTGAGACAGCAACGGTTTAACGTTGAGGCAGAGAAAAAGACAAGCATGGGGTGGGTTACACAAAAGGCACTTCCAACAGATGACACGGTTCAGTATGCTGACCAGATGTGCTCTGTCCTGTTCTGTTAGTGGCCGGTGCAGTGGAGAGGAGAGGAGCAGCCATCTGCGCTGACCCAGCCAGAGAGCCAGGTGGCAGGTGCCCTGATCTTCCCTAGCCCAGTACCACCTTGTGCCCCATCACCACCACCACCTGGCACCCTCCCTTACCCTGGTTAGGAGAGCAGGACAGCATACCATGGTTTCATGTGTAGAGTGGGCCATAGATATAGACTCTGACAATGGATTTTTCTCTGGTTCAGGTCATGTGGTCAGGAATAACTCCTGGCCCTAGACATGTGTATTGTGAGGACATAGCAGGGATGGATATGATTGAGTCATTTATTATAGTGGTAGTGATGCTAAAAATCCCCTTTTTGTTTCAGGTCCCAGCGATTTTGTTTGCATTCTGTGGTTTTATGTGTGTTTATTATGCATTTACCCATGATCGTGTGTGTGTGTGTGTGTGTGTGTGTGTGTGTGTGTGTGTGTGTGTGTGTGTGTGTGTGTGTGTATGTCTGTGGAGGCCACCGTGTCCTGCATAAATGAGCATGTGTGTGTGAGTTTGTTCAAGTGAACATGTGTGTGAAAATAAATGAGTGTGTGTGTGTGTGTTTGTGTGTGTGTGTCTGTGTGTGTCTGTGTGTGTGTGTGTGTCTGTGCGCACACGTGTGTGTATAATATATACAACAGACCACTTGACAGAACACTTCCATAGCAGCTCCCATAGTGGCATTAATCATCTCCCATTATGGAAATTGCATATGGGCTTGGATGAGGGGTTGGGAGAGGGTTAGAGATGTAGGATGCTCTATGCACAGGAAAACAAATGCCTTCCTCATCCAGCAGGTGTGCAGCATCAGTAGGTTGAGGTCATGTTTCTCAAGCTGTGCGTGAATCTAAAATAGCTGACAGATATCTGTGAGATTATAAGGCTTGAATTGCCCCTCTCAGGGCCTGTGATCTTTGGCAGGGATCTAGCAGCAGAGGAAGTGCAGCCTACGGGGGGTGGGAGGAGGGGGGGTTTGGGTCTGGGTCTGGGCCTAGCCTTGTCTGGCCTGAGCAGGACAGAGAGAGACAGAGCCGGGGACAGGGACAGAGACTGACCACAGGGCCAGTGTGCAGACGGGGCTGCAGGGGGCAGGAGCATTCAGAGTTCAGCTCTCTCTCTGGGGCACAGGGGGAGGAGGGGGGTTGGGGGTGGAAGGACACAGCTGGAGAGGTTGGGGTGTTGGGGGATCGGGGGCTAGTTTTCTATCTAGGATACATGTAGATTGGAATTGGGAAGTGGGTTAGGGATGTTTTCTAAGGTTGAGCCATGGGAAGCAAAGGAGGTCTGGTGGGGTTGAGGGCACATGGTGATAAAGTCAGGGCCATCGTAGGATCAAAGGAGTGTGTCATTATTTTCCTCAGGACTCCCCTTGGTTATAGGCCTACTCCATATACTGGAGTATAGTGAGAGTGATATTATCATACCCTGATGCTAACTGGTTTCCTAGAATACCTGATGTCTTCAGAGGAATAGAGATGCTCCTCCAAGTACTGTGAGAACCTCTCCCTGTCTGAAGCTCTGACTCCTCCTCTGTCTTCAAAGAGACCTGCTCTTAATCCTCTATCAGACTCTATCAGCCTCTCTCACACTGGGACTCAGTTCTGTCTCCCCCACCCACACCTACCCACTGGCCCCTATACATGCAATCCACAGACTCTCACAACCAGATCCAGACTGCTAAATTAATACGCAACGAGAAGCAGCGATTTAAGGCAGACCTATGGAAATGAAATATTGTTATTGTTTGTTAATATTCTAATAGATGTCTTTATATCATAAGCAAGTCCCATTTGGAAAGTATTCTCATTATCTCCAAACTCTCTCTGCACAGTTTTACAACATGTTTTCTAAATGGAGAAAGTCCTTATCACCTTCTCACAAAATGAAATAAAATGAAATTGTATCAAATTGTGTCACATGCGCCGAATACAACAGGTCTAGACCTTACAGTGAAATGCTTACTTACAACCCCTTAACCAACAATGCAGTTTTAAGAAAAATAAGTGTTAAGTAAAAAATAGATAGACAGGGGGTACCAGTACAGAGTCAATGTGGGGGGGGCACAGGTTAGTCGAGGTAATTGAGGTAATGTGTACATGTAGGTAGAGTTAAAGTGACTATGCATAGATAATAAACAGAGAGTAGCAGCAGCGTAAAAGAGGGTGTGGGGGTACCGGACTTGGCGCCCCGGGACCGCTTGCTGTGCGGTAACAGAGAGAACAGTCTATGACTAGGGTGGCTGGAGTCTTTGACAATTTTTAGGGCCTTCCTCTGACACTGGTGTAGAGGTCCTGGATGGCAGGAAGCTTGGCCCCAGTGATGTACTGTGCCATACGCACTACCCTCTGTAGTGCCTTGCGGTCGGAGGCCGAGCAGTTGCCATACCAGGCAGTGATTTAACCAGTCAGGATGCTCTCGATGGTGCAGCTGTATAACTTTTTGAATATCTGAGGACCCATGTCAAATATTTTCTGTCTCCTGAGGGGGAATAGTCTTTGTCGTTCCCTCTTCACGACTGTCTTGGTGTGTTTGGACCATGATAGTTTGTTGGTGATGTGGACACCAAGGAACTTGAAGCTCTCAACCTATTCCACTACAGCCCCGTCGATGAGAATGGGGGTGTGCTCAGTCCTCTTCTTTTTCCTGTAGTCCACAATCATCTCCTTTGTCTTGATCACGTTGAGGGAGAGGTTGTTATCCTGGCACCACACAGCCAGGACTCTGACCTCCTCCCTATAGGATGTCTCATCGTTGTCGGTGATCACGCCTACCATTGTTGTGTCATTGGCAAACTAAATGATGGTGTTGGAGTCGTGCCTAGCCATACAGTAATGGGTGAACAGGGAGTACAGGAGGGGACTGAGCACGCACCCCTGAAGGCCCCCCGTTTTGAGGATCAGTGTGGCAGATGTTTTGTTACCTACCCTTACCACCTGGGGGCGGCCCATCAGGAAGTCCAGGATCCAGTTGCAGAGGGAGATGTTTATTCCCAGGGTCCTTAGCTTAGTGATGACCTTTGAAGGCACTAAGTATCCAGACACACCACTCTTGGGTCACTTCCCAATCCCACCTGTTCTCAACTCCTTGGCCTCTGAGTTAGGGACCTCTTGCCTTCTCTGCACTAGGGTTATCATGAACACTGTGGCACAGGACCTCCTCGCTACTGCTTTCTCTCTCTCTGCACTACTTTCTGTCTCTGGTCTCTATTTAGCATTGGTTCCCCTCTCCTCTTATGGTGTCTCTCTCCTTCCTCTGGCTGCAGACATAGGGGACTCCCTCTGTATGTATTAGCATTTTAACTGACCCCGCCCCCCCCCCCCCCCCCCACCCCTCTCATTCTCCAGGTGTGATTCTGGGGGCTGTGTCTGGGATGCTGCTTCGTTATGCCTCTCCCATCCACCCAGACATCGTCATGGTGATTGCCTTCCCTGGAGACATCCTGATGAGGATGCTGAAGATGTTAATCCTGCCTCTCATCATCTCCAGTTTAATCACAGGTATGGTATGGTACAGTCATGGGTTCAATATAGGAGAGAGGACTACCATTTTTTAAATACAGTTTGTTCAGTTTATTATTTATTAGTATCAATCATAATCTTTCACTTTTAGAACTTCAAAAGTAACTAACACTAATTCCACACTGCTATACCAACACATATTTGTTCTGAAAGAGGAAAAATGCCAGGCTTAGAATGCTTGTTTTGGCTATAGGTCTGGCTGGTCTAGATGCCAAGTCTAGCGGTCGCCTGGGAACAAGGGCTATGGTCTACTACATGTCCACCACGGTGATTGCTGCCGTGCTGGGAGTCATCCTGGTGCTGGCCATCCACCCTGGAGACCCCAAGATGAAGGAGCAGCTGGGAGATGGCCAAAAACACGACGATGTGTCCAGCCTGGATGCCTTCTTTGACCTCATCAGGAACCTGTTTCCTGAGAACCTGGTGCAGGCCTGCTTCCAACAGGTACAATACACTACAACACCCACATTTATTTAACCAGGCGAGTCAGTTATTAACAAATGTTTTTAACAACAATGGCCTGGAATAGACAGCCAATAAGGACCTGGATGAGGCAACCCCAGAACAAGTCTTATGAAGACCACAATGATTTAAATGTTTTTGTATTTACATCCTTAGCCCCTTGTTACCAAAAGTTAAGATGGTTTGAAATGTAAGATATTAAGGACTTGTCTGTGTTCTCTTGTCCCACCTCAGATCCAGACAGTCACTAAGAAGGTGGAGAAGGTGATTGAGGAGGACGTCAATGCCACGACCACCCTGGAGGGCCTCCTGTCCAACGCCACCAAGGAACCTGAGTTCATCATCAAGAAGTCCCTCCAGTTCAAGAGTGGCATGAACGTGTTAGGTATGGTGGCTTCTCTTTTGGACCAGGCTGCAATTGTTTCTACAACTGCCCAACTGAAAGGAATTGCACATATAGCTCTTTTAAAATTGTCTTTACTTCTTTGTCTGAGAATAAACCAGTGCATCACATCATGTCACACTTCAAGGGAGCCCTGGGTGCAGCTTGTTCTGTCTCACTAACTGTAGCAGATTGATATTCATCCTCATAAAAATAATTTCCCCATTCATTATCATCTTCTCTGTTCATATCTCTCTGTGAGCCCATTTACTCTACTAATTCCCAGCTGTGATTCCCTCTCCTGACTGTGTGATGCAGGTGTGATTGGCTTCTTCATTGCCTTTGGCATTTGCATGGGGAAGATGGGAGAGAGAGCCAAGCTCATGCTGGAGTTCTTTAACATCCTCAATGAGATTGTTATGAACCTGGTCATCATGATCATGTGGTAAGAGATCTTTAGCCTTTCAAGCACATTCTATATGGATCTACGGTAGCCATAGAAACCAGAGGAGGCTGGTGGGAGGAGTTATAGGAGGATAGGCTCATTGGGTGGCAGGTAGTTCATTGGGTGGCAGGTAGCATAGCGGTTAGAGTGTTTGGCCAGTAACCGAAAGATCACTGATTCGAATACCCGAGCCGTCAAGGTGTATATGTCGATGTGTCCTTGAGTAAGGCACTTATCCCCTCATTTGCTCCAGGGGTGCGTACTCCTATGACTGACCCTGTAAAACAACACATTTCATTGCACCTATCTGGTGTATGTGACAATAAAACATATATATTTTTATTTTAATGGCTGGAATGGAGTCAATAGATCGGAGTCAAACATGTTTGATGTGTTTGTTACCGTTCCATTTATTCCATTCCAGATATTAAAATGAGCTCGTCCTCCTATAGGTCCTCCCACCAGGCTCCTCTGATAGAAATATGACTCTAATTTACCAGTGTTTTTATGATTGCATTTGATAATGCGGCAGATATTGTAGACATTGACTGAGAAGAATACCTCTTTCTCTTCAGAGTGTATACAGTGTTAAACACAGGAGGCTGCTGAGGGGAGGACGGCTCATAATAATGTCTGGAATGGTGTGAATGGAATGGTATCAATCAGATGGAAACCATGTGTTTGATGTGTTTGATACCATTCCATTTATTCCGTTCTAGCCATTACTATGAGCCCGTCCTCCCCAATTATGGTGCCACTGGCCGCCTGTGGTGTTAAACCTCTACTCTGCTCCTAGGTACTCTCCCTTCGGTATCTGCTGCCTGATCTGTGGTAAGATCATCTCCATCGATGACCTGGAGGTGGTTGCTAGGCAGCTGGGGATGTACATGGTGACTGTAATTGTGGGCTTGATCATACACGGAGCCATCTTCCTGCCCGCCATCTACTTTGCCATTGTCAGGAAAAACCCCTACACCTTCTTCATGGGCATCTTCCAGGCCTGGATCACTGCCCTAGGGACAGCCTCCAGGTAAGGGCCACAACCTTGGACGCATCTCACTATTTACACTATTTACATCTAACTGCTGTCACTGTAAATGTACAGATAGATTTTCATAGAAATACTATAAAATGAGTCAAATCTTTCATATCACATATGTGGGCTGAACGTTGTGGAATAATGTATGCAACACCATGACTCTCTCAAACTGTACCTGTGTTTGTCTCTGTCAGTGCTGGGACACTGCCTGTCACCTTCCGTTGCCTGGAGGAGAATTTGGGCATCGATAAGAGAGTCACCCGTTTCGTGCTCCCCGTCGGCGCCACCATCAACATGGACGGAACCGCCCTCTATGAGGCCGTGGCGGCCATCTTTATTGCCCAGATGAACAACATCTACCTGGATGCTGGTCAGATCGTCACTGTCAGGTACAGACTGCCATAGAACATACAGTACCTTCAGAAAGTATTCATACCCTTTGACTTATTCCACATTTTGTTGTGTTACAGCCTGAATTTAAGATGGATTAAATATATGTTTTTTTTCTCACCCAACTACACACAATACCCCATAATGATGAAGTGAAAACATGTTTTAATACATTTTTGCAAATGTATAGAAATTGAAATACAGAAATATCTAATTTACATAAGTATTCACACCCCATGGGTCAATATATGTTAGAATCACCTTTGGCAGTGATTACAGCTGTGAGTCTTTCTCTGTAAGTCTCTAAGAGCTTTGCACACCTAGATTGTACAATATTTGCACATTATTATTAAAAAAATTCTACAAGCTCTGTCAAGTTGGTTGTTGATCATTGCTAGACAGCCATTTTCAAGTCTTGACATATATTTCCAAGCCAATATAAGTCAAAACGGTAACTAGGCCACCCAGGAACATTCAATGTTGTCTTGGTAAGCAACTCCAGTGTATATTTTGCCTTGTATTTTAGGTTATTGTCCTGCTGAAAAGTGAATTTATCTCCCAGTGTCTGTTGGAAAGCAGACTGAACCAGGGTTTCCTCTATGATTTTGCCTGTGCTTAGCTCTATTCCGTTTCTTTTTATCCCAAAAAAAACTCCCTAGTCCTTGCAGATGACAAGGATACCCATAACATGATGCAGCCACCACCATGCTTAAAAATATGAAGAGTGGTACTCAGTGATGTATTGTGTTGGATTTGCCCCAAACATAACGCTTTGTATTCAGGACATAAAGTTAATTTCTTTGCCACATTTTTTGCAGTTTTGTTTTAGTGCCTTATTGCAAACAGGATGCATATTTTTGAATATTTTTATTCTGTACAGGCGTGCTTCTTTTCACTCTGTCATTTAGGTTAGTATTGTGGAGTAACTTCAATGTTGTTGATCCAGCCTCAGTTTTCTCCTATCACAGCCATTCAACTCTGTAACTGTTTTAAAGTCACCATTGGCCTCATGGAGAAATCCCTGAGCAGTTTCCTTCCTCTTCGGCAACTGAGTTAGGAAGGAGGCCTGTATCTTTGTAGTGACTGGGTGTATTGATACACCATACAAGTGTAATTAATAACTTCACCATGCTCAAAGGGATATTCAGTGTCTGTTTTTTTTTTTAACCATCTACCAATAGTTGCCTTTCTTTGAGAGGCATTGGAAAACCTCCCTGGTCTTTGTGGTTGAATCTGTTATGAAATTCACTGCTCGACTGAGGGACCTTACAGATAATTGTATGTGTGGGCTACAGAGATGAGGTAGTCATCATGTTAAACACTATTATTGCACACAGAGTGAGTCCATGCAACTTATTATGTGACTTGTTAAGCACATTTCTACAAGTTCTGCCATAACAAATGGGTTGAGTACTTATTGACTCAAGACATTTCATCTTGTCATTTTTAATTAATTTTGTAAAAATTCTAAAAACATAGTTCTACTTTGACATGATGGGGTATTGTGTGTAGGCCAGTGACACAACATCTCAATTGAAACCATTTAAAATTCAGGCTGAAAAAGTCTAGGGCTGTGAATACTTTCTGAAGGCACTTTACTTTCTAATCAGGGTGGGAATTTCACTGCCTACCTTATCAATGTAAGTAATGACGTAAATGACATAACATTTAGGGGACACTGTTATTCAAAGACACTTACAGTTACAATACATAGTTATGTGTTTGTGGATCATACAGGAACTGAGTACACATCCTCAGGGATGCCATTCCCAATATCCTGAATCCCCATATTATTATTACTGTCACACCAACTCACTCTGAACATGCTTCATGAAGTAGCTGTACCCATTAGCCTCAAGTGCACTTTGGTTAATAGATACAGTCCTTGGCCTTTGGACTTTTAAACTTAATCTGTAGAGCAGTTTTAACCATGAACTGTTTTATCTCCTGTCTATCTTTCTCCCCATGCAGTCTGACAGCCACCCTGGCCAGTGTTGGTGCGGCCAGTATTCCCAGTGCTGGACTGGTGACTATGCTTCTGATCCTCACTGCAGTGGGCCTGCCAACTCAGGACATCAGCCTGCTGGTTGCTGTTGACTGGCTCCTGTGAGTTGATCTGCATTGCTAGTGATTCAGAACCAAGTTCATGTAGTCGTATGTATTCAAAGTCAAGGAGCTTATTGTATATACAGTAAATATACCATGCTCTCAGTGATAGCTGATTTGCCTTACCCCTATCCAACCCATTTTCTTATCTCCACACAACACTTTGGTGTATTCCCACCCATTCCTTTTTTTCCTATCCCAGGGACCGGTTCCGTACCTCAGTGAACGTGGTGGGAGACTCGTACGGCGCGGGCATCGTGTACCACCTGTCCAAGGCTGAGCTGGACGAGCTGGACGCTACACATGGCAAGTCAGATGACATCGAGATGATGAACAAGACCTCGTCCTACTACGATGACCTCAAGAACCACCACGAAAACAACTCCAACCAGTGCGTCCAGTATGCAGCTCACAATTCAGTCGTGGTAGATGAGTGCAAGGTACAATTCACGCTTGCGGACATAGAGATTTGTATATAGCTGCCTAACATGCTGCATGCTGCACTGCACCTTTTCATTTCTCTCTTTCGTTTGTATTTGCCAATGTAAATACATACACAGTTATTTTTTTGAAGAAACTGAAAAATACAAAGAAATACAGCTTTTGTGCAATTTTTATAAGAATACATTCCAAACTTTCAGAATATATTTCTGTTTATGTAAATACCACAAACAGCTTATGTAAATACCAAAAAAATTGCAAGCCAGAAGAAATGCACCCACAAAATGTGAGACAAGTGTAAGTGCAAATCCAAATCAGCGGGCTTACCCTAATGCCCCCTCCCACCACCACCTCCCCCACTCACCACCCGGTCTCATTCCTTCCCTTTCAACCTGCTGGGGTTGGATCTGATAGCGAGGGAAAGCCATCTAAGCCCACACATGCAGGTTTCACCACTATCTCTTTCCCCAAAGCTCTTTCTCCGGGCTACATCAGAGGCTGTGCTGGATTATTCCTGCTGCTTTCTGGGCTTCATGTATCAATTTGTGATCAAATTAGACTTCATAGGGTTTATGAGAAAACACTGTAGCTGTGCATTCTCTTCGTACTCTGTTATATCCATTAAAATGACATAAATTTCTCTTTCTAACTGTATCATTTTAAAGGGATGTCATATAATTGCAGAGAGTGAAATAGTGCTTCATTAGCGCTACATATATTGACTGAGCCCTGGCACCCTGCAGACTGGGACTGAGTCATTCTCAGTCTTTAGAGATGAGAAGCTTTTGCATTTTAAGACCAGCTATTCTTACTCATTGTGAGAAATCTTGCAAAAATGGAAGATGCAACGTAGCTCATGCATAATCTGAAGCAGTAACACTTTCAATCCACTGTTTGAATAGATCAAGGCCGTTGGCTGCTATAATGTGGAGGACTTTGGGCTGCTTGTTTTGTAGAGCAGCGGGCCCCGCTTTCAAAGGACCTACTGATGAACCCATTCATTTATTACAGGATCAAGGGTGTTTCTTAGCAACACTGAGGCCCTTGCACTCCAATGGTCTGACCACAACAATATACAGTATTCTGACAGTTTTGTATCCATCCATTAAGCTAGTGAAACATGGCACAAAGGCTGTTTTCTTCCAATGCTTTCTCTCTTTATTTTCTTGTGTGTTGGCTGTACATAAACTAACTCAAATAACTTTTCTAACATTTATCCAAAGACGCAAACCATTGTAGAACGCCTTGCAAAATAACTTGTACAGACTAAAACATAACTTTGCACTCATTTTGTAGTATTTTGTACCTTGTTTTATTTGTATCTGTTGTTTGTATTTATAACATTTTATATACAGATCTTCTATCTTAATTTGATCACTCTGTTTTCGCAGATAATTTTCCTGTGCAGCAGTAAAAACCAATTGTAGTGTATTCAAGGTTTAAAAAGGCTTCTAAAGTTTGTAATTTCCACTTTAACATTTCAGACTTGATTTGACAAATGTATCCAAGGGTTGGAACCAAAATATTTTTCCAATCGTTTAGTTCTGAACAGAACCATTATTTGTTTCGTTCCGTTCCGCTGTTCCTATCTGCAAAATAAAGTTCTGAACCAGTTCAAACCCAAATAAAGTACCTGTTTATATCGTTCCTTTCTGTTACTTTTTAAACCTACATTTTTTTACATTAGCTCTACATTAAATTACTTCACCAATCAGTGTGACTAGAGCAGCTTGCTATAGAGCGGGAAACCTATAGACTTGTTTACATGCTCGATGGACAGACAAGTGTAGGACATGAGATGCGACTGAAATTTTGTGGGGGGGAGAGAGCGAGAGAGAGTGGAAGAGGAGGCTTGGCTTGGCATCTTGTTATGACATATATTATCTGAATTAGGCCCACAGAATTATACCTATGGAGGAGCGGCTTCTATGGAGGAACTTTGAATATCTTTGAACTTCCGAGAATTGGCTTAACATTGGACCAAAGCTAGCTAGCTAGCTAACAAGCTTGTGTGTGCAGAGCGGCACCAGAGTTAAAAACACTTCGTTAATAAATCCAATGTGAGCGTGATAACTATAGTATCTGTAACTAGCATGGAAAAAGTTAATCCATTGTTCTCTAATTAAACATTTCTTAATCACGCTTTTAACGTCAGTAGGCTAGAGTAGCTTAATCTTCGGAGGGGGAGGGGCAGGTAGCCTACAAACGCACACACACTGGCGAAGATTTTCAGCTGACAGGCAGACACTGGAATACGTTTCTAAGTAACAGAGTGACGGCTTTGCAGATGTGCCTTATTGCGTTTTTTGTGGGACTGAAAAAATGTCCCATAATGTGAAAGAACATTATTAATCTGTTCCCATGCTTTTAAAATAATGGTTCTGTTCTGGTACAGAGCACTTTCGTTCCCGGTTCTGATTCTGTTCCTCAATTAAATTTTTCTGTTTTCGGTTCTGTTCCCTGAATCAGTTCCAACCCCTGAATGTATCAACCCCTACAAAAATGTCTATTCGTTATAATCCACATAATAATTCACATTTCCTGGTGCTGAATCATTATTTTCCTGCTGTGAGAAGCAGGGTCAAATTAAGGTAATCTGTATGTCACTGCATGTTAAATGTGTGATTATATGTTGATTGTTCTCAGGTCAGTAAAAAGGTCTGGTGCTCGTTGTTAAGACAGACCACCGTGATTCCATCAGCATGATCCTCAGTGATTGTCCAGGTCTTCCTGATACCTTCAGAATACACCTGTCTTTTATATTGTGATCAATCATATCATTGGAGCACAGAACAATTTTTTTTCATTATGATAGTCTTTCATTTATATTTTGACACATAAAACAATTACAAAAGATATACAATTTTAAAGTAAAAGGCTTTAATTATATAATGTATGTGCAACCAAATGCAAACCAAATGATCAGAGTAGTTCTACAGCACAGACTTCTGGTGTCTGTGCTCCGAAGCATTCAGTCCAGGTCATGAAGCATGCACTGTGCCTGTTTACGTAGATCAGTGGAGGCTGCTGAGGGGAGGACGGCTCATAATAATGGCTGGAATGGAGCAAATGGAATGGATCAAACCATGTGTTTGATGTATTTGATACCATTCCACTGATTCTGCTCCAGCCATTACCATGAGCCCATCCTCCCCAATTAAGGTGCCACCAACCTCCTGTGACGTAGATGTGTAAACCTGCTGTTTAGATGTCCATGGTGATTGCTTTCAGGTAACATCGGCCACTAATGGCTCTACTGCTGCGGCGGCCATGGCGGAGTGCATGCTTGTTGAGGAGGAACCCCAGAAACGTGATTAAAGCCAGCACACAGATCCTCAGCTCCACACGCTTTCGTATCTGGTGAAAAGAAAGAGTGAACAAAAAAAAAAGAGTCATGCGAACAGAACTACTAACTGTCTTTTTTTTATGTAGTTTTATTTCTTTTTTTTATTAGTCCCTTTACAGTGTTTCTAACTGTCTATCTGACTGACTAAGAGGACTAATACTAATTCACTTATCGGTGAGATGATAACAAAGGTCTGTTTTACCTGTTAGAGCACTAATGTGTGTTTCGTAGCAAATTCTTGCACAACGGACATCAAGGCTTGAGAGGGAGGGTGGGAAGAGAAAAAAAACTGTTACTTAAATTATTCCTAGAAATATATGCATCCTGTATCTATAAGATTACTGCATTCAAAGCAGGGGGAGGGTCAGAGTTTGGGGGAGTAAAAATGGAACAACAGTCCTCCAGAGTGTAATGGTAGCTGTGAGTTTGGTATTGGCAATCTGGCAGTCTAACAACAGACGATGTGTGGACGATAAGAGTGTAAGTCATGCTAGACTGAAGAAATGCCTGTATCAAACTTCACATTATTACAAGCATGGCATTACTATTACCAATGATACCACAGTAGGCAGCTGTTGACCCCTGGCCCCTTTTACCTCCAAATTAACCTTTGACCTATATCTGACAGAGCCCATGTGACCTATCTGAGTGTCTTTATTACCTGATATTACCCACAATCCCCTGGGGGAATTAGTGTGGTGATACTGTAGAATACAGAGACACAGACCTATAAGGGCAGGGTCTGCAGTCTGAGCCTTACTCCACAAGCACATGTTCTCTGGAATTCAAAAGCACAAAACACATAAGAAACATGGAACCTCTTCTCCCTTTTTTATTGTAATACATTATTTTTTCTACTGTAAGGGAAAGGGACTTTTTAAATGTAATCTCTAGTGTGAGATTACATACTGTATCTGTGTGATTTGTGTGTGAGTGTGTGTATGTGTGGATGGGTTGGGGGTGAAAACATGACATATCTCCCCAGTTACTAATAGGGACCAAACAGGCATATAATCAATCAAGGCAGAAGCCTTCGAAACGCCTCCATGGGGTTTCTTACTCTGTACACAATCCATTTGTAGCTAACTCCAAGAGAAGGTGTCTCATTACTCATTTCAACTCCTACAAATTATATACTACGAAGTGTATAAAGATCACTTCACGCAATTACTGCAACGACTCAAACTGAAAAGTAAAGGTGAAATTTGTCCCCAGATACAAATATATCAATAGCTTCAGTTCAGGGCCGTTTTTTCATATTAATTAGTCAAAGTACTACAGTGTTGGAGGTATTTATCGTACCCCTCTCCCATACACTGAAGCTATCAATTTGATTATCTGAGGCCAAAAATAATGAGAACCAAGTGTTAATTGTGAAGGATCTAGGAAGATATCTAGAACCATGATTAATATGACAAGTAAAGCACAAATGAAGTTGGAGCTACTTTCACCAAGCCCTCAACATGTTTACCTGCTCATGAAAGAAAATAGGACATTGACAATTGCCTTTATATAGCACAACTTGAATATGAAAGCTTTGACTTTGAACACATCGACTGTTTACCACCTTGAATTTGTTTTGTATATCTTGCACTCATATGACAGAGATAAAGTTCCCATTTACAACTATTCCTAAGTAAGCTACTTTAATTAAGGGATTCTTGTTAGGAACAGCACACAAAAACGTGTCAATTTTTCTAACTTTACCATTCCATTGACTCCAATTTTCTTGGCTTCCCTTAGTGCCTGAAAGTACAAACACACATATCTTAGCAAAGATGCTACAGAACAACCACAGAACTAGAAAAAAAAGTAATAAGACTGCAAATTTCAACAGGTTGATAACTCACTGCACAACTAGTGGCCAGTTGGCAGTATTACATCCCAACTATTTTTATCCACCCCAAGAGTTGGGTCTCCTTTGTGAGTAAACAACTCTAACCTCTTACCACAGACGATGACGACTGTTCTCCGAGACCCTAGATGCTGCAGCTGTGTGTATCATCGTCTCATATGGTTACTACTGTAAAGCAGTCATCTGGGTGCCTGAAAATGGCCACTATAAACATGGCAACAATCAGGTAGGAGAATTATATCCCCCTAATGGAACCAAACTGGCTAAAAAGAGAAACCCACACAAAATTAGATCACTAGCTGCTAATCTTTAATGCACGTATGTGATTGTGAGAGAGACGTTTTGTGCAGGTGAGGCATTCTGCAGGTGTGGATGTCATTTCTTTTTCTGTGTTGTGTCCTGCTCTATTGTCTAGTTTGTTCATTTGACAACCTTCAATGACAACCTTGCCTTGAAGATGTTAACTCCAAATTGTGCGGTCAGTTTGACTGTCATGACAATGCTGATTAAAATAACACTAAAAAACTTAACAAGCATTCATAGTGCAGTACACAGTCCTTTAGTTACCTGAAACACTTTCTCAGTCAGAAGATCAATGACATGTTGTTTTTTTGTGCTTCTCTACACCACAACACACAATGGTGTTCTGCTGTAAGAGCTGCATGGACACTGCCATCACACACATACACAACACACAGACACACACACACCCATGCCCGCACACACACATATGCACACACACGCATGCATGCACACTCGCACACAACACATACACACATCCGACCCATGCATGCACATACATACACACTTTAACCTGGAAGGTCACCACACACAGGAGATGATGCAGACCAGTGTGTCACCATAGGGATTGAGTGTTGGAACACTATTATGTTCAAACTCACTGTTGTAGAAGCATGAAGTGAAAAATGATGATATTTGTTTTGCACCACTATCTTAAAAGCATGATAGTGAAGTGCCTCCTTGCACTTTGTGTACATATTGAAGGTAACATATATTTTGTTTCTTTGTTTTATTTTGGGGGGGTGGGGGGGGGGAGTTGACATGGTATGTAGGAATAGAGATTAATTGCTGTGACAGTTTTTTTGTAATCCTCTAGAGAAATATCATCTATGTTCTGAATAAAAATAGATTAGTCAAAATGTATAGGAAATAATGTGTAATAAATTGCATTGTATTTGTTAATAGCTGTTAACTAGTTGTCTCACTTAGCTGTCACACATCAATATATACATATCTTTTTTTGTATCTAATGTAAGCGTTTTGAATGTTTGTTCTATGGAGATATAAGTAGTGTACATTCATTTTCATTGTACATATATATAATTACTCTGTTCAATGGCACTGCAGAATGTTCCAGAGATTACAATGATTCTGATGCAAACAATGTTGAACTGGAAAGACAAATAGAAAGAGGAGGGATACTATCGGATTAAAGAAGGGAGTCTATATGGGGTGATGTGCTGTTTCTAAGTTGGTGAGATGTGGATGTTATCATGGTTTCCAGAGGAAGAGGAAAAGGTCAAATGTACCCTGTATGTATTATTAACTAATGAAACAAGCACAGTTTAGCTATTATTTTAGTTCATTATGACTAAAATAGCAAATCTGATCAGAATGTCTGGCCTAGTACCTGACAAAATATATCTCCTCAGGTGGTCACCCAGATCCTGGTCCAGGAATCATCTAGACTTCCTACCAGAGAACACCACACTCATCGTTAGTGTCCGCCATCTTGTCTTGTGCTTTATGCATAATGCTGTGGTAACTACAAGACATAAATATTTACACCAAACAGTCATAGTTCATGTTTATATTCTTCCTCACAGTTAAAGACAGTTACTGTAATGATCCCAAGTGCCATATCCATACACCAGCCTCTGTCTAACCAGAACTATCAACCCAACCAGCACCATTTCATAAACCCATCCAGACACATATTGGTCAATTAGCCTTTTTGCCTTTCTTCATTTCCATCACAATTGTTTGCACACACACAAACAAATCCAATATTGAGTAAAGAGGATGTTCAAATGGAAATGGGTTGTCACAGTATTTCTAAGATGAGCCAGTAGATCTTCAAGTCTGTATTCTACAGAAGTCTTTGTCTTTCTGATAGGCTCCTCCTGAGTAGACCTGATAACCTTTCTCACTCCTGCCCTACCTTTCGCTCCCTCTCTTACTTTTCCCTTCTTTGTAAAGCTGTTGTTGTAATGTTGATGTAAAGCGAGAGAGTATGTGTGGGAGACACAATATTACAAAATAAAGACAAAAAATATATGAATTATTTTCTTTACCAGATCTGTGGTATAAAGTATGTTCATACATATCAATAAGTGTTGTACCATTGGTGTACATATGATTATGATAACTAATAAATGTTGATTCATAACTAAATGTGGTCTGTCCTTTTAGATTTTTGGATGAACACAACTGTTACGAACCCCGTGGCTCTAAACATCTAGGGTGGATGGACATGAGACCCGTAACATAAATTCATGTAAATTATAAGTGTGGCAGGGAACAGTGAGAACATAAATGACACAACAACCATGAACTACCGTCAAACACAAAGTGTTTATTTCTGAACACACGGTAAGGGTTTGGGAAAAAGGGCTGAGCAGGACCCAAGAAATGAAACAATAGTGTAAAACCCCCTAAACTGATCTTGCCTGCCTCAAGAACCGCTAGGCTACTGCTACCATACAAAAATACAGTGGGTGGTCCGCTCAGGTCTCACTAGTGTTTATAGACAGATTTCTTCCTACGGGTAATGTACGCCCAAGGGCAACTAGCTTAAACTCCCCTTTTCCCAGAAACACACAAAGCTACAAAACAGGGTAATCAGCAATAAAGTACGTACACAATACACAGGACACAACAGTATCCACACTCACATAAAGAAATAGATTCTAACAAAGTTACCAATAGGGTAACCAACAACTTATTGAGTACACAATACACAGGACACCACCGTGTCCACACTCACATAAAGAAATAGCTTCTAACAAAGTTACCAATAGGGTAACCAACAACTTAGTGCGTACACAACACACAGGACACCACCGTGTCCATACTCACATATGGCAAAAATCTCTCTCTCTCTCAACAAACACAAGACTGGTTTTTATACAATGGGCTGTGTGATTGAACAAACGAGTAACAGGTGGTGCTATTCACAGGAATGTTCACTGATTGGTCCAATCAGCAGACACCTCAACGACCACCAATCAGGAACATACAGGACACCTGTGATTAGGGCAGAAGGAGAGAAACACACAAAAACACAGGATACCTGTATCCGTAACACTCCCACCCTTAAAAGAGCAAACCACAATGGTTTGCGACACACGTACCATCACAACACCCAAATTCACAAATCATCCTGCCGGGA